CACTCTAATGATGGCTGAATGGAATTTCTAGGAGAGGGATTCCTATTGATGACAATAGCGGACAATGTACATGTAATGTGTGTTAAAATGGTTTATTGATGGCTCCACTGGAAGCTCGTGTTAAAGGGCTCTTGAGGCCTTGTGAACGTTCTATATGATGGGAAATTCTGGGTGAACGCTCTGCACACTGCTATATATCCTTTCTAGCAAACTTTGCAATAAAAAAAACAGGGATTTTTAGTTCACAGATAGTGCAATACATGTTTAAGCTGGCCAACTGCATCAAAGTAATCACTCTATGGCCAGTCCTACTCTGCTATGCAAACATAAAAGCTACTGTGGACACAATGCCAACATGGAGAAACAGACACAAAGTGGGTGAGAGCTACTAGGTTCAGGTCTGGCCATTGACCTGCAATGCAACAGAAATAAGATATAACTGTGCTCAAATCCCAATAGCATATACATATATTTATTCAATTAGATACTAAAGGGGTGTGACCACATGTTAATACTAGAAATTCTGGATGAACCCTCTGCACACTGCTATATACCCTTTCTAGAAAAATTTGCAATAAAAAAACAGGGATTTTAAGTTCACAAATATGACGAAACACATCTGGACGGAGCCTGTGCTGACATCATCATGCCAGATGAACTAGCAGTGCTAGTGTTTTGCTCAATGCAATTGTGCACATCTTGTTTGTGAGTAGCCTTACAGTATATAGCTCAAAAAACCTAGCGTTGCTATTAGATTTGTTGTTTTTTTTTTTGCCGGACACTGTGCTGTGAGCTGAGGAGGTGACCGGATATATGTCCCTCTGGAATGGCCTGAGTTTCTCAGCTTCCTGTGACAGTATTCCCTCTGATGTGTAATGAAAGCACTAAAATCTACCTAGAACTTGGAAGCCTTAATTAGCAGTAAGAGGCAGAGTATGACAGCGGAGATGAAACTCACATGGAAAAACACAAACGTTAGTTAATGGACTATATGGTGGATTTTCACTTTATTTGATTATTATTTTTGATAAATGTTTATATGGTTAAAGAGAGAGTACAACAGATAGGTATTATATACTGTATGTATTGCACTAGTATTGGGTGTTTTGAGTGCTGCTAGATATGGATATTTTGACACCAAGCATAGTTGTTTTGAATTTTAAATCCTATTTACAGGGCCCTACAACAGGAAATGTCTAAGCAAAGATCTTAATGGCAGGATCATCAAATTATTTTGATGAAAGCAGCAGAGTTAAAATATTGAAAGTTACGTTTGACATTAACATGGTAAATCGTACGATTTTAGTAATTGAGTTTACATGCACATTAAGGTTTTAAAAGTGCAAGCTTTCAGAACTCATTAGATTTCAAGGTTTTTTGGTCTGATCAACATGACACTGTTGTGTAACAAGACAGGGCATTTGCATTTATTAACCCTCTAGAGCCCAGCAGTGGGTGAAGCTCTAATGGCCAATGAGAATGCTATAATATGGAGCCTCTAGGGTTTTTCTCCTAGGATTGCCCATGTGAGCTGTTTTTCCTCTAGAGGGCCCAAAAGGCACCCAATCTGGCTTGAGCAGGATCCTGTCATTCATCGACCTTGTGTTCACGGTCAGGACATCCCATAGCACACAGGAAAGTTCCAGAGGAAGTTCCCTTTGGTCAGGAATAAGCCAGTGTTAATACTGCATATTGTTTGCTATGCTTTACTGAACAGATCAGTGAAAAGAGTACAATACATTCAGGCACTATGGATGTAGTGGGCCAACAGCTTGGCAATGTAAAGCAAACATGGTTACAAATAATTGTAGATAAAGTGTGCAATGAACTTAGCAATACCTTTAGCATAGAGGAATATAGTCCAGGCATCCCCAGCATGGGTCAATCTTAAAGTGAGCCCTCATCTTGTCAAACAACCCATTCAGTTTAAAATAGAAATGAAAGGCAAAATATTTGTGTATAAATATACAGTCAGGTCCATATATATTTGGACACAGGCACAATTTTTTTTTTCCAGGTATTTACCAAAACATATTCAAGCTATAGTTATATAATGGATGTGGGCTGAAAGTGCACACTCTCAGGTCTAATTTGAGGGTATGTACATCCAAATTGGAGGAAGGGTTTAGGAACTACAGCTCTTAAGAGTAGCCATTCCCCATTTTTCAAGGCCAAAAGTAATTGGACAATTGAATATAATCATAAATAAAATGTTTTTTTTTTTAATATTTTGTTGAGAATCCTTTACTGGCAATGACTGCCTGAAGTCTGGAACCCGTGAACATTACCAAAGACTCACTTTCCTCCATTCTGATGCTTTGCCAGGCTCTAACTGCAGCTGTCTTCAGTTGTTCTTTGTTTGTGGGCTTTCTGCCTTTAGTTTTGCCTTCAGCAAGTGAAATGCATGCTCAATTGGGTTGAGATCAGGTGACTTACTCGGTCATTGCAGAATATTCCACTTCTCTTCCTTCAAAAGCTCCTGGGTTGCTTTTGCAGTGTGTTTTGGATCATTGTCCATCTGTACTGTGAAGCCCCATCCAGTCAACTTTGCTGCATTTGGCTGAATCTGGGCTGACAGTATATCTCTAAACACTGCAGAATTCATCCGGCTGCTTCTGTCTTCTGTCACATCATCAATAAACACCAATGACCCAGTGCCACTGGAAGCCATGCATTCAGCCCATATTCATTATATAACTATAGCTTGAATATGTTTTGGTAAATACCTGAAAAAACTAAAATTGTGCCTGCGTCCAAATGTATATGAATTTAACTGTAGAAACATTATAAACACCCCCCCCTATTTTTTTTAGAAGTGATCACATACCTACTGTTCTCAGCTGCATAAGGAGCTCAGAGAGCTAGGGAAGGAGAAACAGCAATGCACTGATCTTCTTAGTGAATGGCTGTGCATACCGGCACCTTTATTAGGTACACCTGTTCATTTGCTTGGTACCACAAATTGATAATCAGCCAATCTCATGGCAGCAACTCAATGCATTTAAGCAACTTGCTGAAGTTCAAACCAAGCAACAGAATGGAGATGAAAGTGACTTTGAACGTGGCATGGTTGTTGGTGCCAGATGGCTAGTCTGAATATTTCAAAAACAGCTGGTCTACTGGGATTTTCATGCACAACCATCTCTAGGATTTACAGAGAATGATCCGAAAAAAAGAGAAGATATCCACTGAGCAACATTTGTGTGGATGAAAATGCCTTGGGCAGACTACTTTGAGATGATACAAAGGCAACAGAAACTCATGTCAATATGGACCAAAATCTCTGAAGAATGTTTCCAAAATCTTGTTGAATCTATGCCATGAATAATTTAGGCAGTTCTGAAGACAAAAGGGGGTCCAACCTGGTACTAGCAAGGTGTACCTAATAAAGTGGCTGGTGGGTGTATTTAGCATGTAGGTAGTAATAAAACCCTCCTGGCAGACTAGACATAAAGGCACAAATTGTAAACCAATTGCACATCCAGTTTCATACTGCATATGTACTGGTGAACAAGGTAATCAATCCCTGGAACATGTGGATACCAGGGGCGGACTGACCATTTGGAAACTCGGGCACTGCCCGAGGCCCGGGGTCAGTAGGGGGCCCCATGAGATGCCCCTGGTACCTTTTTCATAGGCTTTTTTGAGTTTGGGCAAGGACACAGGGGCCCCATGATCCCCTATTGCCCGGGGGCCCCATGACTTGTCAGTCCACCCCTGGTGGATACATAACATGTATCTTAGTGACAAGCTCCATCAAATATATAGGTAATGAAAGTCACATAAGTAGAGCCATCTCCCCCAATGGTGTAGTAATAAAGCCTGCTAGAGAAAGCCTGCAGCAAAAAAGAGATGCAAGGCAGCTTGCAGACTTGCATGTAGTGCCCAAAGAAATGGATGGAGATTGCTGGGGATTTGTTCAGAACACCATGTGCCCTGACAGATTATGCTTTTGACGGCCTATTTAGAGGGCATGATCAGACACATACCCCCAACCAGGTTTAAAAAAAATTCAAAAGAAAGGGACACTATGTGCATATTTAATGTGGTATTAAACCCAAAACCAAAATGGATTATATTGAAGCTCATTGGATCATCATTGGATGTGATGGCTTTTTTTCCTCTGTTTTCACCTTGTGATCTGTCCAGTAACACACCTTCTGTATTAGTGAGGACACCACTCTATAGGAATGAGCACAGGACACAGCAGGCAGCAGCATTGTCAGTCTGGGGGGAGGGGATTGTTAAATGTATTACCAGATTTGAATACAATAACAAATTGAGGCCAAACTCCAGCTCACACTTTATTGTCAGTTACAATAACAGTCTTTTCCTTTCGGGATAAAGGTTTTACAAGAATAAAAATAAGCTGATCATTTTATTCACCCCCGTCAGTGGTAAATGGATTTTTTCATTCATGTATACTAATACCGATGGGCTGAACACCCACCCGTTCAGTTCGCGGTCGAACATTCGACTGCGAACTTCGAATAGGAACAATTTACTGAGCGGTATCTTACCACATCTGAGTATGCTGTAAGATACCACTCAGTTACTAAAATACCGCATGAGTTTTTTTATTAAGTCATGCGGTATTTTAGTAGTGAAACATTCATTCATGTTTCAGCTGTCAGCGGAGTTCCCTGCTGACAGCCGAATGTCAAAAGAATTGTCTGCATTGCCCGACAATTAAAAATTATTTTAAAAACAACGGCATGGGGTCCATACCAAGACCTTTGAGTCTGGTATGGATTCTGAGAGGAACCTCGTCATGCCAAAATGTAAAAAAAAAAATGACGTTGGGGTCCCCCACAAAATCCATACCAGATGCAGCCTGGAAGGTCAGGAAAGAGGGGGGGAGTGTACCAGGCCACTCTTCACACTGTGCAGGTGCGGGATCGCTCCTTATTCACACTGCGCAGGTGCGGGATCGCTCCTTCTTCACACTGCACAGGTGCGGAATCGCTCCTTCTTCACACTGCGCTGGTGCGCTCCTTCTTCACACTGCGCAGGTGCGGGATCGCTCCTTCTTCACACTGCACAGGTGCGGGATCGCTCCTTCTTCACACTGCGCATGTGCGAGAGCGCTCCTTCTTCACACTGCGCAGGTGCGGGATCGCTCCTTCTTCATACTATGCAGGTGCGAGATCGCTCCTTCTTCACACTGCGCAGGTGCGAGATCGCTCCTTCTTCACACTATGCAGGCACGAGATCACTCCTTCTTCACACTGCGCAGGTGCGGGATCGCTCCTTCTTCATACTATGCAGGTGCGAGAGCGCTCCTTCTTCACACTGCGCAGGTGCGGGATCGCTCCTTCTTCATACTATGCAGGTGCGAGATCGCTCCTTCTTCACACTGCGCATGTGCGAGAGCGCTCCTTCTTCACACTGCGCAGGTGCGGGATCGCTCCTTCTTCATACTATGCAGGTGCGAGATCGCTCCTTCTTCACACTGCGCAGGTGCGAGATCGCTCCTTCTTCACACTATGCAGGCACGAGATCACTCCTTCTTCACACTGCGCAGGTGCGGGATCGCTCCTTCTTCATACTATGCAGGTGCGAGAGCGCTCCTTCTTCACACTGCGCAGGTGCGGGATCGCTCCTTCTTCTTCATACTATGCAGGTGCGAGATCGCTCCTTCTTCACACTGCGCAGGTGCGAGATCGCTCCTTCTTCACACTATGCAGGCGCGAGATCACTCCTTCTTCACACTGCGCAGGTGCGAAAACAGGAAGTGCATGCTGGGTGTCAGCTGCACAATTTCCTGGAAGAATGTCTGAGCGGGCTTATGGTGCCCACACTTAAGATGACAGTGTTCACAATATGAAGGTGCAGTAAGTAAATTTATTGTTTATAAGGAAAGCAAAGGATTACAAGTACAGGTGATCTCAACTTACATTGCCTAAGCTGCCACTCTCACGTAGGTGCCTTTAGAAAAATAATATTTAAATGGCTGGAACTCCACTTTAAGCAAATGGTGCTATCCTCCATTTCGTATTATCTCACTTTATTTAAAGAATTTATTGCCGAAAGCACTAGCTTTTTTTAGATGTGGACTAACCTGTTAAGAAATATCCACCTAGTTATGCAAACTATGCATACTGTAAAAACTATAAAAGCATAGGATGAAAATATGATACGCATGCTGGTATCTAGACAGTCTGTCACATCCTGTTGTGGTGTAATGCCTTACAGTAAATATGGCCTTGAACCTCTCTCTCATCTTTACTTGGTTTATGGCCATGTCACCTTATACGAGTTTGGGGACAACAGTTAACTTGTAAAGTTGAGTTTTAGCTTAAAGTGGAACTACACTGCATCTGAGCACCACAAACCAAAAATTCCATTTAATTCATTTTTAATATGCAAACAAACTCCCCTATCAATCCATGTCTTCATGATTTACTTTGCTGAGAAATCGTTTTGAAACCCCCACCTAGTTTTTCTGGCAGTGGCCATCTTGAGTAAGGGCAGATGATTCATGTATCATTTACTTCCTGGAATCCATCTGCCCTTAGATCAAGCATAGCCTGGGCTGATAACCCTACCTCTCCTCCTGAAGACTCCTGGGATTTACAATATCATTTTCCTAGACATGGAAACCAGGAAGTAACTGAAGAAATGTAAAAAAATAAGTTTTAAACAAGTAAATCTGATATACTTTCCTATCTAGTTACTAATGCTAGCAGCATAAGGATTAAAAATGATCAATGTTAATTGAGAGAGTGAGGTTCTGCTTAAACTCCCCTGTGAAAACTAAACAGCTGAGGAATGGACAATGGCTACTTTCATCTAAGGCACAGGTGTTAAACTGGCAGCCCTCCAGCTGTTGCCAAACTACAAGTCCCATGAGACATTGAAAGATTGACAGTTACAAGCATGACTCTCAAAGGCAGAAGTATGATGGGACTTGTAGTTTTGCAACAGCTGGAGGGCCACCAGTTTGACACCCCTGATCTAAGGCTTCAATACAGTTCTAAACCCTAAACCTTTTTGTATGCATTAGATCCTCTGTCAAGTTTTTATTGTTGTATGTGCTCCGACAGTTTGTCCTTGTGACCACTGTCTCCGAGACAGAAAGTGAAGAGAAATCCAACATTTTACTGTTGCCACTGTAACAGAAGGTGTGGGAAAATCTTCTAATGGGAAACCTGTTCTGGAGACAGCTGTCTAAGCGCTTTTCCATCACTTAGAAGTGCTTTCCAGTTGAAGGTGCATATTAATAGAAATCTTCCCAACAGACCTAAGACAGCCAAAGAAACCTTTCAGGGATCTTCGCTATTTTATATATAAAAAAAAGGTTGTTGGGCTGTATTTTTACCACCTTCGCGATCACCCCCTGAACAAGGAGATGCAGCTTCTCAGGGCTCTACACATGGTCACACAGCCACAAAGCTTTGCGTCATAAATGTGGCAAAAACTAAATGGCATGTTGCATTCACTGTGTAGTACCACAGTCACATGCAACCCATTCAAGTGATAAGACCACGCTGCAACCACATGTAATTCACATAGTTGCAGCACAGTGAGTTGGCATTATCAGGGTTAAAACAGGCACTAAGAAGGTGACATATCACCTCCTTACCACCTTTCAAATGCCCTCTGAAAAGTGATGCACTACATATAATTTTTCACAGGGGCAGCAATAACAGTTGCAGATCAGAACAAGTTCATAGAGCCCTTTCAGTCCCCCTTACCCTTCCTACAGCCTTTTGGATCCATGCATCCCTTAGAGCAATTTTTCTTTCAAGTGACACCACTGAAGCAGGTACAATTTTTCCATCCAACAACACCCCCCGATGCAGGATCATTATTTCCTTTCAGGGCGCCACCAATGCAGGGACAATTTTTCCTTCCAGTGCCACCAGCAATGCGGAGACATTTTTTCCACTTTAGCAACACCTAGAGCATTTGTTTCTCCCAATGACACCACCCTTGCCGAGACATTTTTTCCTTTTGGCGACACAACTAATTCTGAGATGATTGTCCCTTCTAGTGACACCACTGACGCAATGCCAATTTTTCCTTTCAGTGCCACAACCAATGCTGGGGCATTGTTTTCTTTCCAGTGCCACCAACAGCGCAGGAACATTTTTTTCCTTTGCTATAGTTAGCCTTATAGGTATGCAATGATTTTTAAACTCTTCAGTTCACTACAGTGACATGCACATGCCACAAGACATAACATTTCCCTGAAAGTGCTGCTGTTAGATCCATCCCCTTCTCCACCCAGGGGGAAGGAGAGGCATAGTTGCCATCTTTGCCATGGGCACTGGATCACCGTGTAATAAGCACTCTAATAGTTTAGAAATGGTGAAACATGTTAAAAAAATTAATTTGTCAAGCATATTATCAAATCACAGCTTTGTAGTCTACGTGATGAAGCTATAAGAAAAATCTTTGTGATGTTTTACAATCTGATTTAAGAATTTTTATGACAAATTTTATGACCCAGATATGCACATTTCCCACAGGTACACTGATAATGTGGAATTTCAGTGGGGAGAGTCAAGGACAAGCCATTATATTATTGCAGATAGAAGCAAGATGAAAGATGAAAAATGGCATTGAATAATAATGCTATTATATTGTGTATTACTGAACAAAGTCTATATATGATAACATAAGTACACAAAGCCTTGTATATAAATTATTAGTATGGGTTGGTGGTAATGCCTGATAATAATAATAACCAATGGGCTCAGTGATCCTCAATTCATCGTGTGTAATCCCCTTATAGAATGTATAACTGTTTATTTCATATACCTAGAATATTTTTTCAGTTTTAGCCATATTGCCGTTGAAAATATATAGATATGTTGTACAGCAACAGACCATGACAATCTTTGTTGCTCAGTCCTTGACCTGACATATATATATATATATATATATATATATATATATATATATATATATATACATACATGCTCACCGACCTCTTTATTAGGTACACCTGCTCAATTGTTTGGTAACACAAATTGCTAATCAGCCAATCACATGGCAGCAACTCAATGCATTGAGACATTTAGACGTAGTGATCTTCTTAGTGAATGGCTGTGCATACCGAAACCTTTATTAGGTACACCTGTTCATTTGCTTGGTACCACAAATTGATAATCAGCTAATCTCATGGCAGCAACTCAATGCATTTAGGCAACTTGCTGAAGTTAAAACCGAGCAGAAGAAAGGGGATTTAAGTGACTTTGAACGTGGCATGGTTGTTGGTGCCAGACAGGCTGGTCTGAGTATTTCAAAAACTGCTGATCTACTGGGATTTTCACACCCAACCAACTCTAAGGTTTTCAGAGAATGGTCTGAAAAAAAGAAAATATCCAGTGAGCAGCAGTTGTGTGGATGAAAATGCCTTTTTGATGTCCGAGGACAATGGGCAGACTGGTTCGAGGTGATAGAAAGGCAACAGTAACTCAAATAACCACTCATTTTAACCAAGGTATGCATAATACCATCTCTGAATGCACAACACGTTGAACCTTGAAGCAGATGGGCTACAGAAGGCAGAAGACCTCACTGGGAGCTACTGCGGTCAGCTAAGAATGGGAAACGGAGGCTACAATTCGCACAGGCTCAGCAAAATTGGACAATATAAGATTGGAAAAATGTTGCCTGGTCTGATGAGTCTCAATTTCAGTTGCGATATTTAGATGGTAGGGTCAGACTTTGGCGTAAAAAAACATGAAAGCATGGATCCATCCTACCTTGTATCAATGGTTCAGGCTGGTGGTGGTGGTGTAATGGTGTGGGGGATATTTTCTTGGCACACTTTGGGCCCTTTGTATCAAGTTAGCTTTGTTTAAATAACACTGCCTACTTGAGTATTGTTGCTGACCATGTCCATCCCTTTATGACTGCAGTGTACCCATCTTCTGATGGCTATTTCCAGCAGGACAACGCACCATGTCACAAAGCTCAAATCATCTCAAACTGGTTTCTTGAACATGACAATCAGTTAACTGTACCCCAATGGCTTCCACAGTCCCTAGATCTCAATCTAATAGAGCACCATTTGGGATGTGGTGAAATGGGAGATTTGCATCATGGATGTGCAGCCGACAAATGTGCAGTTACTGCATGATGCTTTCATGTCAATATGGACAAAAATCTCTGAGGAATGTTTCCAACACCTTGTTGAATCTATGCCACAAAGAATTAAGGCAGTTCTTAAGGCAAAAGGGGGTCCAACCCCTAGCAAGGTGTACCTAATAAAGTGGCTTGTGAGTGTATATTGGGCAATAAAACGGTGATGTCACTTGGATCACCAAAGTGGATTCATGATGCAATCACACCAAGAACATCGGATTATTGCTCATGGTGGAGGTAACTGGAAATTTTGGCATGAATGACCTAAATCAGCAGAGACCTGCATTTGTTGAAAACAAAAGGTGGCAATTTGGGTACCAAGTCCTGAGCACGCTAAATTTGGATTTGAGCCACATTTTACATTTTGCCAATACCAATCAATATGTGCAGCTACCCTAAAAACATTTTAAAATTTTAGTGAAATCCTGACATAAAGAGCTCTTCTGATTCCAGGTGCCTGCTGTAAT